CTGGAATCTGGGGTATCCAGGAGGGGAGGTTGGATCGGGGACGGGGTGGGAGGGGCTGTGGCCAGTCTCAGGTCTCTGTTAATGTTTTACCCACACTTCCGCCTGCACGGAGGCCCCGACATCCCCTCTCCCCCCTGAGACCATCGAAGCGTGACTCTGCCTTAAGGTGGCTTTCACAGTGGCCTGGGCTGGGTGACCATCTTGCAGCCTCTCCGAGGGTCCTTTTGAGAGCTCCAGCAGGGGGTGGCTCTAGGCAGGTCAAGGAGCTTCCAAAGAAGCCTCGTGGTGTGGTAGTTAAGGGCACTGGACTCCCACATGGTTGACTAGTTCGAGTCCCAGACCTGGCAGCTTGCTTTCTCACTTTCCCTCTCTCTCTCTCTCTCTCACTCAGTCCCATTCTGGTCAAGTTAAAATACACACATACATATATAAGTAAATAAATAAATAAATACACGTTAAAATACTTCTTTAAAAAAATTCTGTATTTTATTTTAGTTATTATTGTTGTTTTAATTTGCTATAGGGCGTGAGCAGGCACCAGAGAGAGACAGAGAGAGAGAGAGAGAGGGAAAGTGAGAAACTAAGCCATCAGGTCCGGGACTTGAACCATGGTCGGCCATGTGGGAGTCTAACACGCAAACCACTATACCACCTGCTGGTTGTTCCCCAGTGAATAATTCTTTTTTAAAAAAAGTAAAATGAAGGTGCCAGCAAGTAGTGTGGTGGTTAAAGTGCTGGACTGCCACATTGTGGACCTCGGTTCAAGTCCCGGACCTGGTGGCTTCCTTTCTCACCTTCCTTCTCTCTGTCTCTCTGTCTCTCTGATGGCTATACCAAGTTTTAAACATTTGAAACATAATCCTACTAACAAATAAAATGAATAATGGTCATTTTTAAAGAATTATATATTTCATTGTATCCATTTTATTTATTTTTATTTTTATTTGACCTGACAGACACAGAGAGAGAGAGAGAGGAAAAGTGAGAAAGCAAGCCACCAGATTTGGGACTTGAACCATGGTTGTCCCTGTGGGAGTCCAGTGCCTTGACCACCACGCCACCTCCCTGCCCTAATACATTTTATTTTTTAATTAAAACTAAAAGTTGAAAAAGAGGGGCTGGCAGGTGGCGTGGTGGTTAAGGCAGCTGGACTCCCAGTTACCATGGTTCAAGTCCCGAACCTGGCAGCTTGCTTTCTCACTTTCCTTCTCTCTCTCTGTCTCTCGGGTCAATGTCACATAAAATGAAATAAAATAATGACAAAGAATAAAATTAACATTTTCTTGGAGAGGTTTTCACTATAGGGCGCATGCACTCGCCAGACAGACAGAGAGAGACAGAGAGACAGAAAGCGAGAAATCACCCCC